GATACTAGTTCTCAAACTTTTCAATATAAACCACAATATAAGAAATCTATTGTACATAAAAATCAGCACAGAACAGTACATATCCTTACCACATGCAATGCACTGTGTATTTGTGCTCCATTCTCATCTATGGCAAATTTCTTAAAGTGTTGGTTGTAATCAGGACAGATGAAGATGAAGGGGAGGGGAAGGGAAAAGTGGAGAAAGTCAGTATAAATTACTGAGGCCCTGTAGGCTGGATGGGGTGAGGGATACGGGGCAAACACAAATCAAAATGAACATTTTCAGCCCATCCACCCTGGGTGAAGGAGTTTTTTACACCTGCTCTTGGTTGTTCTGCTGTTCACCCACTAATTGATTTCATGACCCACTGATGAGGATGTGACCCACAGATTGAAAATAAACAAAATTAAATAAAACACTTTTACAAGACAACACTGCTTGTAGTGCCCCAGGATTTAATATTTTATAATGAATCCTATAATTATTCTGGGCAATGTGAAAGTAATTTTATCGCATCATATTTTTGTACTGAAGAAATGCATCTATTAAATGTAAATCTTCAATACCACCACAATATTTGTAATAGTGTATCCTTCATTTAAAAAAAAATATACTGAGGAGCTTAAAAAATAAATTTAAAAAAAAATGCCCCATCCTCTTGACCTCTGAAAAGTCCTACTTATACCTGTAGTGGATAAGGAATTTCCCCCCATTAGCTTTCAACAAAGAAAGGTCTTTTTCTGAAACTTGAATTTGCACATCTAACATACCTACTGGAAGGGGACAGATGGTCCCCGAGGCCCAGAGGAGCAGAGGTTGGCCACAGATAATCGGTAATAATGGCATATCTCAACAAGGAACAGGTCTTCATAGGAAGGAAGTGGGAAGAACCCGAGACACAGAAGCCTATTGGCAGCAGACATGTGTCCAACCTGCTCCAGCAGAGAGAGCCACTGTTGACAAAGATTTGAGAGAAGTTTCCTCAGTGAAATGTCTTCAGGATTCTCCATAGCCCAGAAACAGCGTACTCCCCAGACTCTGCACTTTCCTCTGCTCCAAAGTCATGGTCACCAAAGGAAAGATGCAAGTCACATGAAAGGGGTTCCCCTCTTTGTCAATTCACGGGATTTGCATTCTTCTTTATGTATCTGTGCTGGCAAGTTTAATTAAAGTCGAATCTGATAAGTATCACATTTTCTGGATTTTCAAGGCTGAAAGCAAAACCTGAAACAAGCTAAGTTCACCAAAATAACACCACCTGTGAAATGTCATCCAGTGTTCCCCAGCACATGTATCCATTTCACAATCTCTTGGGTGTCCCACGGGTCCCCTGGAATTCCTCAGCTACTTATAGCCTCCCTAGACTATAAGGATTTTCTGTATTTGGTAGTTGTTTTCATGCTATAATTAGATTTAGCAATTAGATTCAACATTTTAGACTTTTCATAACACCTGAAAGACTCTTCAGAGATTATTTTGTCCAAACTCCCTGACATGCAGCTGAGAGAACAAAGGCCCAGAGGTGCAGTGACTTGCCCTATGTCACACAGACAGGTGAGGTGCAGTGCTAGAATCACCTTCTACCTCCTGTGTCCCCAGGGCAGTTAACACTGAGATTACTATGAATCAAATGTGCAAGCAATGATCTCTTGAAAAATGCGTTTAGGTTGTCCTAATATGGAGGTCAGTAAGAGAATGTATAAAAAAGGGTAAGATGTTTCAGTGAAAATAAGGAGAAATGGAAAGTGAACCCCTGTTGTCAAATAAGTCCATGCAGAATCTGGGACACGGGCAGACAAATGATCTTCAGGCTCGAAATGTCTCTCAGTTCTCTCTCAATCACTCTCTCTTTCTTCATATTTGTCTTTCTTCCTCCCTCCTTCCTTCTCTCCCTCCTTTTCATCCTTTCGGTTGTTCTTAAACCCAATTGGTTCTTCATAGAATAAAAGGGATGTCCATGAAGCCAGGAATACATACACAGAAAATTAAACAGACATTTTCATTCATGCACACATGAGCACATGCATGCACACACATATACAGTCCCCCATATCATACACCAAGATCAAGATGTAATGCTGCAGGTTGGGCTCTCTCAGAAGCCAACTCGGAGACAGAGTTGAACGTGCAGGAGGTTTGTCAGGAAAGGTCCTTGTGACCAACACCAGTGGAGAGGAAAGGAAAGGAAGTAAGACTGGACAAAAGAAGTCAAGCTGGGGTGCAGGTCCATCAACACCTCCTCTAGAGCTAAACGACCTATCGGAGTTGTCCCCAAATACCCAGGCCTTTACATCCCTCCCTCCACTAGTCACCAGATGTGTGCCATTCCAGGAAGGTCACGACCTTGACTGAGACAGTTCTTTGTAGCTGAGGCTTGTAAAGTGTGAGCATGGAAGAGATGTATGCTACTTCTATTCATACTTCACTGGCCAAAGAAAGCCACATAATGGAGCCCACCTTCACAGGGACTATCAACATAATTGTCTCCTAGAAAGGGGATGAGAAGCAGATTTTGGTGACCAGTAATACAATTTCCCACAGCTACACCCATCCCAAGGAACATCCTAAGGAGACTAAAAACAATTCTGCAAGTCATCATTTAAGTTCATAAATCACAGAAATGGTGTGTGTTGTAACTGTAGAAAGAGAGGTAGGAGATTTGTGTAAGGCCCTTAAGTACAGCACCTATTAGAGCTTCGGCTGGACACAGCAGGTCCTTAATACATCTTGATGAAACTGAATTGAATTTAGGTTTTCATGTGGGTTTCCCTTGAATTTAGTTCACTATGAAGCTAACCAAGGTAGCACATCCACTAAAATATATGATACAAGAATGATGTTTTAAGGTTTTTTTTTTTTTTTTAGTGTGAAAACATCTATAGTTATAAAAGTAATTTTTAGAAGTTTAAGAAAATCAGAAAGGCAGAAATTAAAAATCATAAATAGGAAAAAAGTGTAAATAATTAAGAAAACATATAAATAAGTATAAATAAGAAAAAAAGTATCCTAGCTCAGGCTGCCATAACAAAATAGCATAGGCTGGGTGGCTTAAACAACTGGAATTTATTTTCTCACAGTTCTAGAAGCTGGAAGTCTGAGGTCAAAGTGCCAGTGTGGTCAGATTCTGGTGAGGGCTCTCCTCTCAGCTGGCAGACAGCTGTGTTCGCCCTGTGTCCTCGTGCGAAGGGTGTGAGAGAAAGAGCTGCTGCCGCTTTTTCTTTCTTAAAAGGCCACAGTCCTATCAGACGAGGGCCCCACCCCTATGACCTCTTTTATCCATTATCTCCTAAAAGACTGTATCTTCAGATACAGTCACATCGGGGGTTAGGGCTTCAACATATGAATTTGTGAGGGGAGAAACACAATTTCAGTCCCTGTCAAAAAGTATACAGGAAATAAAAATAAATCATATTCCCAAAAGTTGTATCAGGAGAGTTTAGGTTATGCTATGGTAACACATCTTAGTCATTTATCGTAATAAAGGTTTATTTGTCATTCAGGCTATTTGCCTGTCAAGAGTCAGCTGGGGGCTCTGCTCCATGTTGCTCCATTCTGGAACCTACATTGAAGGAGCAGGAGCCAGTTCAGATAGTATTGGTCACCATGGCAAAGGGAAAGAGAGCTCTCAACAATCTCAAATAGTCAATAAATTGCTCCAGCCAAAAAGAATGATGGCTTAAATAAATTAATATACATTCTTAAATGGTGGGATGGAAATAAATATGGGAAGAAGGGAAAATTGCCAATCAGTGATTGTTTGCTGAGACCCACACTGTGCTCAGCACTGTGCCATGAATGAATAATACTGGATTCCCATGCTCAAGGACCTTCAGTTTAGCTAGGGAGAATTAACCCACTGTATAAATAATGGTTTACTAATATATTTGCTTTCCTGTATTTAGATTGTAACCTTCACCAGGACAAGGCTAGACCTATCTTTCAACTTTTTAGCTTTAGCATTTAGTATAGTCCTTTGCCCATTGCAAATGGTAAATATAAAATTGATAGATACAAATCTTAAGTGATAAAGGATTTGAAAAGCAAGGGGTTTATGAGGATGCCAGAGCATACAAGAAAAATATTATAAAGTAGATGAAAGCCAGGCGCAGTGGCTCACTCCTATAATCCCAGCACTCTGGAGGGCCGAGGCAGGAAGATTGCTTGAGTTCAGGAGTTCGAACCAGCCTGAGCAAGAGTGAGACCTAGTCTCTACTATAAATAGAAAGAAATTAGCCAAACAACTAAAAATAGAAAAAATTAGCCAGGCATGGTGGCACATGCCTGTAGTCCCAGCTACTTGGGAGGTTGAGGCAGGAGGATTGCTTGAGCCCAGGAGTTCGAGGTTGCTGTGAGCTAGGCTGATGCCATGGCACTCTAGCCCAGGCAACAGAGTGAGACTCTCTCTTGGAAAAAATAAAATAAAATAAATAGATGAAACTTGAGACTTGGTCATAATGAATGGTATGAAAGGGAAAAGAAAGAAAAACCAGAGATCAAAGAGTTCAGGATGGTAATCTGGGGAAATAAAGCCATATCTTAAAAAAAACACTTGTAGCATATGATTCAGCTGCTAAAACAATGTCTGGAAGCATTGAGTGTGTAACAGAGGTGTTGAGCCCTATTTCCAGGTAAAGCAACTTGGCAAGGCTCCAGACAGCTGATAAGGACCCCATGGGCAAGTGAGGATGCCTTTAAGGGACAGGTGCCCTCATACAGAATGTGATTATTTGTAGAGTTTCAATAAATAGGATGATGAAAAGATTACC